CAGATGCCGCCCAGTCGGCTCTATATGGATTCACCAGGGACGCACTCGTGACCAAACGCGGCGGAAAGCGGGCGGTCGAGGGAGGGCACGGCGGTTAGTGACGGGGGTCAGAGGGTGACGGGGGCCGGGCGGGCGACAAAAGGGATGTGGCGGATTAGGGTAATATTGACCATCGTGGGCGGCAAAGCCACTCTTCAATGGAGGCATGGGGCTACTGATCCGACAACCGGTCACTATACAGGTGCCTCCAGCCTTGACCTGTAGTGGGTAAATGTGAGAGGATTAATGGAACCGTGCCGAATGCGCACGCAATGGCAATAATAATGATTATCTTGCAAACCTTGTCCACCAGCACGCAAAATTAATTGTCCATCACTTCTATCAGATATTTCAGTCGTTTATTTTTGTGGCGTCTGTTTTATTTCCCGACCTTGTTCACAGGTGGGTTTCCTTGCAGGCCCTGTCCGCCCCCGCGTACCATTCTGTGCGGCGACTCTGATGGGCGTCTAGCCGACCGCTCCCCGCTGGTTCGGCCTGTGACACCAGCCGTTATATCACTCACATGTGCATCTGCAGCGCATATATACCCGGCGATTCGCCCTGATAACATCCCATAAAGAGGTATTAATGCTTGTGTAACATTCATGATCACCGGCTAGTGCCTCTGATAAGGCACATTTTAATGCATTGGCAGCCGCTCCCAGTTTAGCATAAGACGACATTAAACGACCGCATAGTTAGGGTTTTATGTATCAGGCATTAGTAGAAATGAATTGTCAATGGTAATTACGTCTGGTCGTGACTGCCCGGCCCGTCCGTGGGTCACGACTCACGGCCCACGGATCAGCGGGGTACAGGGACGGTCGTCCGGACGGGCGTGGGAAAGGCAAATACTGCCGACTGCTGATGACGGGCGAGTGACAGTGACAAAATCCTCAGAGACTGTCTACGAACTGGGCGTTACATTGTGACAAGAGTCTCAACTGCGGCGTCTGGATGGGCATTCAAGTGTCACGAACCGTGGCTTCATATTGAGCAAAGCGAACACCAAAGTGCCAGCTATGTGCGGCGCCTTTAATCCAAGTCATTTTCACTCTGTCTCCATTGCATACTCGTCATCGCAGCCGAGCTCTTCACTGGATATCTCTGTCTCAGTATGTCGTATGTGGCTATTCTTGTGACTGAGGCATGTTTCGATTCATCACAAACAAGGCACGCCTTTCTCGCCGGAATGCGGCAAGCGCCAGGGTCACGAGTACCTGAACGCTTCACGGAACTCGACTGGGCTGGACCTGGACACTGACGTCTAATCGTGGATTGAAATCTTGCTCTGCTGAGCCTTCATACGGTCTTTGTTAAACCGGGGACCCTGGCTAGGAGAGCCGAGTTGACCGCTCATGGCCGCTGGTAGAACCGTTCGAATCACACCGGGATTTCTAAGCGGTGAGCATCTGTACACAACCCTTTTCATTATTGTCAAACCATAGATAGCATGAATCATGCTATCAATAGTCAAACTTAGGTATAGCAAAGTCCTTATCGATCTATCCCACAGCATCCAAACTGACGATTTCTATGTCGGATCATCTCTCTCCCGCTCGCCCCTCTCGGCCAGGCAGGCTCGCTCGGATCGTCAGGACTCCAGGATATGGTCGGACACCCGCGGTCCACCCGCCCGGTAAGGAGCTACCAGCCTCCGTAGTCCGTACGAACGGCCCGCAACTCCGCGAATGGAGACACGACCGGGGCGTGACGATCGCGGTGACGCACACGAAAAGACCGAGCGGAACTCGGAGGAGGAAAACCTTCAGAGAAATGACGGCACACGGAGAGAAATGACGGCAGGAATGGCCCAATGTCACGCTGGAAGGCTTGATTGAGGGGTGAGCGAGAGAAAATTGAAAGGCGAATGAGGAAATATGTCCAGTAATATTGAGGAATATGGCTCAACCTTTCATCAGCTGTCTGAATGGTCTGCGAGCGAACAAAGGAAAATGAAATAACACCTCAATAGATACTACCCAGTTCCCGAGTTCACAGTGATTTTCTGAGACGTCTGTGATATTTTATACGGCATGCAGCGCGCAGTCGGCGTTCCCCCCCCCCCCCTGAACTGTTAATATGGGTGCAGCCGGTGTAACCCAGCCCCGAACACACACAGTTTAGTGCAGGTGTGAGTCAGCCCTGCAGACCGCCGCCCGGTGACTCACTGAGTCAGCCGCCCGGGCTGTGACGGACGCGCCATCCGTCAGCGCTGGCCCGTGACAGGCCGATCCCCTAATGTACAGAGGTGCCGCCCGCCCCCGTGGAACGCAGGCCATTCATCAGGGCACGGCGGCCCGCGGAGCGGGCGGCACAGGGGACACGAGGTCATCAGAGGGTCACGAGAAGGTCACGACGATCGAGGGATGACCGGGTTACTGGGGGTGAGATGTCAGGTCTGAGGGAAGGAAAGGGTGTCATACGAGTACCTACATGGGAAGATGACAGCTTGGACTAGTGCGAACACTGAGCAAGACCCCTCGAGGGCAGATGCAAACGACTGAGGGACGGCGAAGCTAGAGAGGTGCGAACATTTTGCTGTCCAACAATGAGCACCAGTCTCGTTAATGATCGCCACAACTCTGCACTGCTCAGAGCTGCGGCCGTATCAGCAGTAGCTGCCACAGCCGTCCCAGCGGAACTCCCCAGCTCTCCTCTCCGGCGGGTCGGCGGCGGTGACCCGGACCGGGCGCGGCCGCCGGCACTCCGACCCACCCCGCTGCCAGGGGTGCAGCCGACAGACCCGGCGCCATACGGACCCCACCCGCCCCCCAGCGCTGCCGAGCAGAGCTTGGTGCAGTCCGGCCCCGATGGCTTTGTAAGCCGGCCACCGACTTTAGGCGTCGTCCAGCTTGTTCCGATTGTAAATAGACGGACAAAGCGGGCAGCGAGTGCCCAGTTAGGTGTTTGGGTCTGTGTTAACCGCTTCACGCCTCCCAAACGGACGTACCGAACAAATTGAGATGCACTCCATCGCACGGTAAAGCGGTCCATCGCGATTCGCGGGTGTCCTACAGCACTCAGCAGAGAAGTGCTTATCCTGATAGCGCGCTAAGTCGCCTCACCTCTCCTCCTCAGCTGTCATTCTTGTCGGACCCCCCAGTGCGGCGGCTGCCCGGCTAAATCTCTCTCGGCGCACCGTTTAGCGTCACAGCTGTGTGTGAGAGGCCGTCTCCCGGCTGTCACCTCTCCCGGCGCCACCATCGCATTAGCATAATGCACTCTGTCAGCGCTTCCCAGTCCTTCTGCGGGGGTGGGCGGACCGCGCCGGTAGTCGCCGGCCTGTTCGGGCGGTGTGCACAGTGTTCACCGTGAGCAGCTGTCACGGCGCCTTCCGATTTGGACGGCCATCTGATCGGTCTGCGTCCATCTGTCCTTCTGTTTGGAGACGGGCGCTATATCGGTCCGGGCGGCGCTTTGAGCGGTGGCTGCCGCCTATCGATATGGTCCGGGAGCTGGGCGGGCCGGTCACATGAAACGGCTCGGCTGGGCACATCCGGGAGGGCCGAGGCGGGGCAGGAAGATTCACGGAATAAAGAATGGCAGCCATTGATGAACCATCATGTCGATGAACGACAAAATAGTCATGAGAAATTTCACTTCATAAACAGCTGAAAAATAGCGAAACATTTAAAGTGAATGCATTTCCGATCACTTTCAAGACAAAGAAACTGTCCTTGTTATGTAAATGAGTTCGTCCTCTTTCTCATCAGCCCGTATTTCCGCCCGCCTCCGCCCCTCCCTCTGCCGGTACGCGGCTGCAAGACGGCACTCCTGCGAGCTGGTGCGCACCTGGCATGTCGGGTGTACGCTGGTGGGATGTCGGCTGTCCCGGCGAACGGCCTACCTGTCATGTCGACCCGGCAGGCGGCCCCGACCTCCATTACCGACCATTTGTCTGTCTGTCTGTCGGAGTGTCGTCACTCATTTTCCTGTCTGTCGCAGTTTGTCTGTGCGAGTCTGGACGGAGGCTAGGTGGCGCAGCGCAAGGAACCATTATATACCTTTGTAATGTATTGGCTACGCTAATGCACTTGAACGGAAAAGGGCACCTGAAAAACATGCGAATCGCGTACGGCTCTTGTGATAACACACCGTGTGGTGTTATGTTTATGTGCTCAGTCGGAGTCTCCGTTACCTGTGCGTGAGCTGATATGACCGAACGCCTAAAATAACGTGTGGAGACTCAGCCCAAGGCGCACGCTAGTTTTATTGTGACTATAGGATTCACTGTCGTTTCAATGCATCAACAATGACTAATTAAAAAAATCAATTTAGTTTGAACTTTGTAGAATACAAATTCTAGTGCCTGTAATCCCTATCGCTGCTAAGCGCATTCAATAAAGCCCATTTAGCTGCCACTATCGCCTCACACCCTTGTCATATTATTTATACGGCGTGCTATCGTCTGATCGGTGTCACACCTCGGCTGGGGATGCGTCGTTCATGTATGATGTATGTTTCTGAGCGGCGCTGTGGCACGGAGCGCCGGCACGACACGGTCAGCCATCCGGGGTAGCTCCGGGTAGCGACCTGACCCGGGCCACTCCTCCCGACCCTCCGCGACCCTCCCCGGACGGCGAACACTGCCAGCAGACCGGCACGGCCGGCACCAGACGTCCGCCGGCGGAGGATCGGATCCGGCCACTCTGCCGCCATGCAAATGTCGCTCCCCGGTGCGCCGCGCCGCAGTCACGACCACCTCTCGGCGGCACACGACAATCTGTCGGCCGACCCGATTTGGCGGCCGGGCAACCTTGCAACAGGCAGATGAGCGCCACGACCTGACGGCCGCCTTGTTTACAGGAATTATGCAGGCCGAACATGGCTGCGCACCAGGGGACCCCTCTCTGACCCAGTGCTGAGACGCTCCACGCGCGCCGGGCGGCCGGGTGGGTCTGACACCAGTCCGCGTCCGTCAGACTTTTCCCTGACGCCACCGTGTCTGTCTGTTGCAGGAATTATGCAAGATCGCGATGACCACAGAGACATGACAATCAAGAGCAGCGGCAGTGAGAGTATGGCTCCGCTCGGGATGCGTTTTCCGCTCGATTTCGACCTCAGCATGGGACAGATGGCGCAGGAGGAGGCGGACCAAAACTCCAGGTGAGTTCAGCCGGTGACTCGGCTTCTCTAGAACGGTCGCCGGTCGTGTGCCGGCATGCTGATTGCTTATCAATGGGACATGCCATGGAAGCAAGCGGCTGTCGTCCATATGCAGGCATCACGGTCATAGAAAGAACAGCTGCTGCACGATTGTATGCAACACGATCCGGCGAGCGTGTTTTATGAGCGTTTCCCAGAACTTTCATTACGAGTTTCTAAGGCGAACCTAGTCGCACCAGTCCAGAAGCACAATCAGAGGCCGGCCCCGTTCTGCTCTCGCGGAAAGTGACCGTAATGGGCTGTTCCACTGGCGGCGCCAACACCGAGCCCTGCACGGAAAAGCCGACATTGCATGCCCATACCGGGCGGAGAGGGTGCCCCAGGCAGCGGCCGCCGCGTGCCGCTGCACCCCCCAGAGGGGGTGGGTGGAGGGGGGGGGGCTCCCGTTCGCCGTAAGCCAGGTGGCTCCAGCACACCTCCAGTAAGCACTGAGTCATGCCTTGGAACACTGGGCGCCGATGGTCGGCTAAATTCCACTACGCTATTCGTCTCAATGCGCACACTAATTGGGCGGGAATAAGAGTCACAGCTGTAAACAGGTGTCCAGGCAGGCTCGGAAGGGGAGAGAGACAATGCAGAAAACAGCCCGGTTCATCCTGCTTCAGCTGTTGTACAAGCTGTGCCAGCTACACAGTTTATTGGAGGAATTCCCCGAGACATGTTCTGGACTGGCGAAGTGTATGACGCATGTCTGGAGGATGCTAATTGCTGCCTTCTATCGACAAACGGTCTAAGGAGGTGGGATGTCCACATTCCTAATTCATATATGGGATCGCTCCTGAGTAATATGAGACTGTCACTGAACGATACCACGCAAACATATTTTACCAGCCGACTAAAATAGGCTGGGGATGGTTTGTGATTTATTGTCGAGTTCGTCTGACAAAACTGCACCACGAATTACACATACGGACTTGGTTGTCGCCTATTTTTGGATTCCCTCAATTTATATATGTGGTACAAACCCTACCAATCCCACACCTAAATGACGCAAACCGCACCGCTTCGTCATTTCCGAACCATGTTTCCACCACGGGCCGCCGATTCTTTGTCGGCTGGTGTCGAGTTTATCGTGTCGAATTTCTCCACAACACCGATCTGTACTTGTGTGCAGCCTTCACACCAAACCATAAGCTGCAAATCGTCTTTTCGATCACGTATAGCGTGCGCGAGCGGCACGTCCATGGGGAAGGGAGGGAGGGGAAGTGTGTTCGATTACCGCCGCCGACCTGGACTGACGTAGCTAACGCGCACAGGACGAACCGGCCCCATCCGTCACCAAAACCGCCCACCGCGATCATAGCCAACCACCGCGCGACAGCCGGCCTGAATCTGGAATCCGATGGTTTTACGATTATTTACATGTCATGCAAAAACGCTCGGCTCCGATGGAAGAGTGATTGAGAGGCATTTCGGTCCTTACCAATTAGGAATAAGCGGATCAGTCAGCGAATGACGCGGTATCGAGCGATCGGCTTAGGGTCGCGTGTGATTGAAGGCAGCCGTATTGTCTTCTGTCTCCTCCGTCGACCAAATCGGGCTAAGCCGCTGAGGTATTTGTTTCGTGATTCGCCCGTATGGTCTAATGGTCGAGCGCGCCGCGGAGGGTCGCAGAGACTGAGTTGTGGGCCGGATCTGGGCGAGGAGGTCTGTCTGTCTCCGGGCGGCGGACCGGGCTGTGTCAGCTCCGGCCGCCGTCCTCTCGCACCGCGTCGCGGGCCGTGCCATGTACGGACGGAGGCACGCGATCGGCTCCAACCGGAGCCTGTGACAGCCCCGCCCGGCGTCCGGCTGTCGTCCCGGGGGACCCGTCACCGTCGCGTTCCCACGGCCTCCCGGCAGCAGGCGCGGCGGCGCTTTCTCGCAGATTACGGCGACTGGTAGAAACCGCAGCTGGGGGCGCCGCCGGGCTGCCTCAGCCGCTGTCGCCACCACGGTCCCCGCTGTCTCCCCGCCGCGATCACGAGACTTTGTCTCCATCGCCACGCCGCATCGACAGAGATCACGCGTGTCGAACTCGACTGCCGACCGGCCTCCGCGGCGTGCCGACCTCACGTCGCTAGCATTCTTTGTGCGATTTATGGAGCTCGTTTCGGGTTTGTGGGTTCGGAAAGTGAAATCTTGCCATTACGATGACGACAGTAGTTTCACAGCGAGCGGGCACACGACGTGCTCACGCACTGTGACCGGCAGGTGCGGGCCGAGGCCAGATCCGAGACGGGGTTTTACTGTTCTCCGGACATCGGACTTGATCAGAAGAGCAAACATAACTGCCTTTGTGAAAGCGTATCAGCTCTCGTAAAGAGTCAATCTTTAGCATGTGTCATTAAACAAAAAATTTATTTGGTTGTTGCAATCATGGAAACGTCTTAAGTTTATTTGAAGGCACGTCTTAGATTACCCGTTCAGTGAAGCAAAGGTGTGAATGTCTGAAGACTGAAGCAGCCCGGACCCAGACATTTGCTTTAACCGAAGTTTCCACTCCATTTGTGCATTGGTTCTGGCGGCGCGGGTCGATCAGTCTCGATGAACACATCGCTCCGATCGGCTCCACTCATGATCTCGGCCCTCGAGTCACCTCTCGTGACTCTGACTCACGCCCGCTCCGGGCTCGGCCACTCCGCAGTAGTCGGGCCGAGTTTAGCGGACCGGACATAGCGCTGGGTGCGGGGGCGACCGAGCCCCGGTCCTCGCTGCGTTGTGCCGGCCCACGCGGATCTTCACACACACACCCGACCGATTTACCGGCAGCTGACGCTCACGCGCCCAAAGATTTATGATGTTTTCAGCAAATACCCCCGTCATACGGTGTATCAACTTGCTATTCACTTGTCAGTGGGCGTTCGTTAGTCGTGCCATCAAAATTCTGGCCATGCCGCTGACACGATGGCTGTCTGTTATGACTAGGCAGATCGGATGTTATTTCTAGCCTCATCCCACCCACGAAGGCTATTCGCCATTCACAATGCACGGGTGTCACTGGCGGCGCCTCTCGTGTGCCGAGTCTGGACGGCAGCGGGGCTGGAGGGGATCGGGTGACTGTCAGGAACAGGTGGGTGGGGTTCGACACCCGTCCTGAAGTCACAGTCCCCTGTCCCCGGACCCGCCGTGAGCTCATGAGGAAAACGGCGAAACGAGACTGTACACTACATCCGCACTGAAGACGGAAAAATCGAACGGTGAGCTAACTCCTTGGACAATAGCAGCGCGGCGCAATACACTTAGCCTTCTGTCCACCGGACATGCCGAATTGTTTTGCTGCTCAGTTCATTGACGGTTTGCGGTCATATCACGTCACCCATCGTTAGCAGTGCATCCGCTTTCAAAAAGCAAACCTGCTTGTGAACGTCGTCAAAGCTCGGCCAGTTAGCAACCTCAATGCTAGTGATACGACTCCTTCACGGCTAGTGGTTTCGCCGTACATGGCCATGCACAATCTTAATGTTGTTTTTGCATGCTGAAATGGCTTGATTCAACAACAATCGTGCTTAGATCTTCATGAATTGTTGGCGATGGCGTGTCTTTTCAGCCAGTGTAACGCCGCACCTGTTCCTCTCTAAGTCAAATGCGGTGTATGTAAATTGTTTCGACAGCTACATTTAGGCATTATCGCTCGTAGCCAAAGTGGTTCCAAAAAGCTTGCATCATACCGGAATGTGTGGGCTGCTAAAAAGAGAACCGCACCTGTTAGGACACATGTAACTGCCCTACAAAAAGGCTCTGTTCATGTTATCCACCTGGCAATGAGCGGTCAGCTTTTGATTTTCAATTCGATGACGATGGTTTAATGTGCCGTGGAACGCCATATAAATGTGCATTATATTTCAGCGGCGCATTGCTGCACGTAAAGCGGCGGCATGCAACGTCAACATGATGAACTGAAGATGGTATACATCTCAATAATGGCTGGGGGTTGCGGTCGGCACATCATGACGGCCATCTGAGGCCGTCAGGGGCGGGTATACACCGCGCAGTTATCTATAGGATCCTGTTCACACCACAGCCTGCTGAATGGCCATACAGACGAACACAGCCGGCCCGATCCGGCCGCAATACACTGCTGGCCCGGCTTCAATGAAGCGGGTCTTTAGCATACTGCTGAGTCACATTGGTATGCAGAGGGGATGCTGGCGGCGGTGCAGCCACCTCGGAGCCACCTGGGAACTCCGCGGTCCGCTCGGAGACACCTGGGCGCAAAGTAACGCCGGCGTCCGCGCCCCGAGGCGGCCTGGCTGACCCCTCGCAGCCGCAGCAGTGGCGCGGGAAAACCGGCGGCCCGAACGGCAACATGAGAGCCTTACTTCAAGAAACTACCCGATAAGCAAGAAACAAGAAGTATTCATCGAAAGCAATGTGCGATCTCATTCACTGGCATCTATTTCATGCATCTCTGCCGGATGTCCTCGATCGTTTGCCTCCTAATCACGGTATCCACGAGTGGTGCACCTCGCGGTGACCTCGGTGACACGGACGGGTGGGCCGGCCGGCCCGACAGCCGCCGGGGCGGTCTCCAAGGCGTCGCCACTGATGTATTCCATGTCGGGACGCCAATCTGCACGCCGTTTTGGCAAAGTCCGGTCCGCGCCGCGGCGGTTTGGCTGCGGGCCTTCGAGGGTTGTTGGGGGACCACCGGACGAGGGTGTATTAGCAGCTGCCGGCCTGATTTCGAGGGGAGGAGCGCCACCATTGAGGGCTGCTGATCTCTCGCCAATGGATGTCCGTGTGTGGCGGCGTTCGTCCCGGCAGCGGTGCTGAATTTGGCACGGTTTGACGGTTTGAGGACTCTGACGATGGATAGATGGCTCGCAATGAATGCTGCAGAGAGTATGCAGCTTGTCGCATCTGTCAGACGACACTACCATTTGTAAGCGGGCGGATGGATTTAGCATAATGCCATTCCGTTTGCGGATCGAGCGCAGAGATGTCCGTGTTCGCCATTA